CTTTCTTGCAAAAAGTCACTTGTGAAGTCATTATGACATTATTTGTATTAAACACTACTTTCAGCATGCTTGCCCTTTGCTTTATCATGGTGGCAAATTTTTATTGTTGGTGAGGAAGCCAGATTACCCCGAGAGGAGAATCACCATTGGCAGGAAAACTGGCAATCCTTTAGTTAATTTAGATTGAAGTCAAACACACCTTGCCCCAAGCATCCTTAAGTTAATTTAGATTGAAGTCAAACACACCTTGTCACAAGCATCTTCAAGTTTATTTAGATTGAAGTTTAGATTGAAGTCAAACACATCTTGCCACAAGCATCCTTAAGTTAATTTAGATTGAAGTCAAACAAACCTTGCCACAAGCATCCTTAAGTTAATTTAGATTGAAGTCAAACACACCTTGCCACAAGCATCCTTAAGTTAATTTAGATTGAAGTCAAACACACCTTGTCACAAGCATCCTCAAGTTTATTTAGATTGAAGTCAAACACACCTTGCCACAAGCATCCTCAAGTTAATTTAGATTGAAGTCAAACACATCTTGACACAAGCATCCTCAAGTTAATTTAGATTGAAGTCAAACACACCTTGCCACAAGCATCCTCAAATTAATTTAGATTGAAGTCAAACAAACCTTGCCACAAGCATCCTTAAGTTAATTTAGATTGAAGTCAAACACACCTTGTCACAAGCATCCTCAAGTTTATTTAGATTGAAGTCAAACACACCTTGTCACAAGCATCCTTAAGTTAATTTAGATTGAAGTCAAACACACCTTGCCACAAGCATCCTTAAGTTAATTTAGATTGAAGTCAAACACACCTTGCCACAAGCATCCTTAAGTTAATTTAGATTGAAGTCAAACACAAACAGAGCTCATAATCTGACAACCTCAGTGTTCACAGGCATTTTCAGGTCCCTTTGCCAAATGTGGAGCAGGATCTGCTTACCATTCGGGAGCACCTGAGATCATCCCCCATTTTTTGGTGGGGTTCGTATTGATCAGTCTTTAGTTTTCTATGTTGTGTTTTGTGTACTATTGTTTGTGTGTTGGTCTTTTCCTTTTTTTGACGTGGCGTTGTCAGTTTATTTTTCGACTTATGAGTTTGAATGTCCCTTTGGTATCTTTCGCCTCTCTTTTATAAGGAATGTTTTAATCTGTTTGCTTACAATATGACCTCAGGAATCATAACAGTATGCTGAATTTGAATAGTTCTATGTTTCTGGGAAAAAAGAGACCCTTAAACTTTAGATCTGGACAACATGTCTTTAAAATAGAATTTAGTTGGTTTGATGATGACTAATGGTTGTATTATCAGTATATATATTACAGGGTTATCATTTCTCTATAATCTTACTCACTGTCTATTGCACCTGTAGGTTAAGCTTACATCAGCTGGGTACCTGTAGGTATGCTTACAACTACTTTTCAAGTGTTTAATTTAATTGGTAATTTCTATCAAATGTGTATCAAACTTGGTACTGTAAATTCAGAAATTTCTGTGTATATTTATTTTTGCTATCATTGAACACTGTAAAAAAAATATGAGATTTAAAATTATTTGAATTTTGGGAAATGTTGCAGGATAACGCAATCAAAAGTTTAAATGAAGTTTTTTTTGTTTTTTTTGCAACACATAGAATAGTTTACTGGTATATTGTATAAATGCTGGTTGTCACTGTCAAACTTAACTTAACTTAACCAGATAAACTTGGTACGAATCATCAGTTGTCACTATCAAAGTTTTTCTTGAAAAACTTCTACTAAGAAAACTTTCATAGTGACAACGGGCCTTATGAAGTAATATCCAATGTTGAAATGTCCATCTCAAGATTATAATATTAAATACCCCATTAGCAATTCTTATAAACAAGTTATGTTAGGTATTCAATGATGTAAAATAATAGAAGGAAAGTGAAATTTTCATTGAAATTAAAGAAGTAAAATATTCAAAAACCTACATTGGAATTTAGTATTTATTGTTGTAACTTGTCTAAACTCTGTCAGAATTAGAGCAAAAAGTGAATGTTTAACTTGACTTATCAGATAAAAACCAATGTTTCTAATCTTAATTCTGTCAGGTTTTTCTAAAAAAATCTTCCTGTTTTTGCATGTTTGGAATGGATGAATGTTTCTAATGTCAGTAGTGTGATCTATCTGTTTATCGATGTAAACATTCCATTGTATATAATTACTATTAATTCAGAAATTTTTGTGTGTATTTATTTTTATACCCCCCTCTTTGAAAAAGTGGGGGTATACTGTTTTCTGCCTGTCTGTCTGTCCGTCCATCCGTCAGTCCGTCCGTCCCATGAATATTTTTCGTCGCATCTTTCTCAGGAACTACATTACAAGGATTTCTGAAATTTGGTTTCAGGGTTTATATGAATGAGCTATACTGTGTGATGCGTTTTCAGATTCATCACTCAACAACTTCCTGTTTACTGAAATATTTGGGCAGGGTATCATCAGTGAGCAGTAGCTCGCAGTTTCACTTGTTGTGATTGTTGAACAATTGACAAGTATGGGAGACTTAGATTATTGCAATGCCAGGCAAAGGTGCATAAAAATAGTACAAATTACAAGTATAAAATGTTTTTATGTATATAAATTTTTTTTTTGTGACAACTTAATTCAATCTTAAAAACGATGCAAAAATTTCATAATTTAAAGTATACAAATCTCTACAGATCTTAAGATTGACATTTCCCCTTTGAAATGTGGCCATGACTTTTGCTAAATTGTACTATGGTCACATTTGGCAGAGACTTGGACCAATCTTAGTCCCAGGCAGAGGTTAGCTATAGGATTGCCAATTTTCCTTTTGAATGGTGTAAGTTTTTTTGCTCCGTGATGGAGGCCTTACTGTGACTTTGAGATGAAGAACAGCTTTTTGTGTGTTTTTTTCTCTACATGTACTGACTTTGTGTCCTGGATGGATGTAACCCCGTATCCTTTGTTTTTCTACTATAATTTACTATATATTTTTATTTAATATGAACTTATGAACTCTTGAAGCTTTTTCTCTATAAATGATTGATTCATATAGCTGTCACATTGGTAAAAAAATATTTCAAACATTTCATTCCAACAGTTTTGACATATGGATATTTAAAAAAAACTGAATTTGAATAAATTATCCGATTTTTTCAGACTTAATAATGTTAATTTACTGCAGGTGTATATAAATGTTTTTGCTTTGTAAGAAATTTAATACATTCACAAATAGCAGCTTGAATTATAGTATTGTTATGGATTATCATCTCATAACTGTTTGTTGGTGGTAAGATTTTTTGATAATTATGAATTCTTAGTGATAGCAAATATATGATATCTACAGAGTCTGAAGGCAGAGATTTCAAATGTTATGGATAGATAGGATTTGATGCATGTCAGAGTTTTGCCTTGATTTAATTTTTTCCCATACATTAAACTATCAAATAACACACCTAGTTTACAAAAAATGAAGAGTTTATATAGAGATCCTTGTTGAGTTACATTATTCTCATCATCTTTTTCAATCATCTGAGAAATTAAATGTTTTTGAGTTAAGTGTGACCTCCATTTCACTTAACTAGTATACATTATTGTTTAGGAACCAGCTGAAGCCTGCTGCAGGGTGTGGGATTTTCTTGCTGCGTTGAAGACCCATTGGTGGCCTTGCCGTATTCTGCTCTTCCGTCAGGTTTTTGTCTCTTTGACACATTCCCTGTTTCATTCTGAATTCTATTTATATAGCCCTGTTTATATAGCCCTGTTGATTATTCTCATCATCTTTTTTTTATCTGTTATGAGAAATTATGCAAATATCCAATAGTACCATCAAATAATTAAAAAGATTAAGAAATAATTATTTAATCACTAATTAATACAATATAAACATTTGGCCTAATCATATGATTCTCTGACTTTGCATCTGTTACGATGAGAAATTATACAAATATCCAAATTTTACCATCAAAGAATTAAAAAAGAGTGAGAAATAGTTATTTTAATGATTTATTAATACCATATGAAAAGTTGACCTTATCACCAAACCAAAATATATTTAATAATCATTCTAAATCAAATTATGTGGCTTTTTTCACAGACCAACTCCCTGCTTGAAGACAATGTGAGGAGTTATTAATCTAATAAAAGGGTTTAATAATGATAATATAATGATTCCTCTCACACTTTTAACTTAATAAAAGTTTTATGGTCTGGTAATTAGGTAGGTAATTATTCCTCTCTTTATTTTTGCAGTATCAAATGTTTTCCTTTGATTCTATTACTTTTTATGATCATTGATGATATTGCCTTTGATGAAAGTGGGAATCTACAATGATTTGTGAAACAAGTTTCTTTTGAGGAGGAGATTTCATCTTATATAATTTAAATCTCATTGATTGGGTTATGATATCCTCACCAAGGAGCTTTTCTGAAATTAAACACAGACTAATGCACAATGTTCTTTTGTCTTGGATATAGCAATGATTTTGTAAAGAAATCTTTTAGACTAAATTGGGACAAATATATTTATTAGTAAGAAATAATTGAGTTTTAAAATTAAAATTTTATCTGTAAAATGTGATAAAAAAAAAGGAATGAACAAATATTTTGTATATCCATTAATTTGGGGCTAACAAGCCATCTCTGCTACACTGATTCAATATATTGGGGGATAAGAAAACTGATTTTATTTAGTCCATGGTATAACCCTGTAGTTTTATGACCAATAAAAAACATATGTTTGTCTACCCTATAGATATAGACAAGGTGATGCACATTTAATTACCTCCCATTGTTTTATCATTATCTGTATCAAACATTGAAGTGACCCAGACAGGTGTATATATTAAGATCTTTTCCCCCTTGGGGCTTTCATCATATTTTGTAATTTAATTAAGATAATTTGTATTCCCAGGAGGTACAAAAAAGGTGTAAAGATTTCTCAAAGATCGGTCATAAAAAATATGTTTGACATTTTGTAATCATGGCAAATATTTATGTTTTGTAGGATGTGTTGGAAAGAAAGATTGAAGAACTCAGTAGACATTTGGCAGAGGAAAAACAAGTTTCAAGAAGAGAGAAGATTCATGTTGCCAGGTTACATAGAGAACTAGCAAGATTTAAGGGAGACAAAGAAGTAAAAGAGGTAAGTAAAGGGGAAGTAACCCATTTTCAAGGGAGATTATATTATAAGTATTTAGTTTGTTGGTGTGTTGGTGTTTAATGCCACTTTCAGCCCTCGTTGCTATATCATACAAGTTTGTACGGATGGTGGAAGACTAAGTGCAGGGACAGAAACCACTCAACCTACTGAATAAGATACTTATTGTTTTATTAAAAAACTACAAAGTATGATAAACTGACTATCCATCAGAGGTCCAAAGGATGTTGATGTTAGCAACTAAAGGTCCATCAAATGATCAAAACCCTCAAGGCATAGCAAGCTATAAAAGGCCCCAACATAACGATATCTTAAACAATTCAAGTTAGAAAACCGAGGGCCTGATTTATGTACAAAACAACAAACCAAAAAGAAATATGATATACAGTAATAAACAACAATCAATGAGTTCTTAGTTGGTGAATGAAAATTTATGATGAAATGATTTTAGTCTTAAAGAAATTTGAAGGTTAAAATCGTTTGAATTTGATATTGCAAAAGTTATATTTAATGTAATAAAATAGGTTTAAAAACTGCAAACATTATTTCATAATGAATAAAATTTGTTAGGTCATGGTAGTACAAGTAATATTAAAGTTTTATGGGAAAGTTTTCATAATTTGATATCAATTTCTTACAAATTTTTAATTTGAAGTCAAAAAATTTATTTCCATTTCAATTTTTATACATAAGAAAAATTGTTAATAAAATTGAATGGTTTAAAGCTTGATATCCGTGATAGGCCATTGGTTTTATCTTACTTAGCTTACTATACATAATGAATTTTGCTCACTATTGAAGATCAGGCCTTGCGGTGATAAAAGTTTCGAGCGCGATTATTGTACTCAGACTCAGAAATCAACCAATCAAAATACTGAATTTGATGTTTCAAGCACAAATTTTGTACTCCCAGTACTGAGTACAGTTTTATGCCCGAGGACCCTGGACTCTCGGTTATAAAACTTAACTCAGTACTCAAGAGTACAAAATGTTTGCTCGAAACACCAAATCCAGTACTTTGATTGGTTGAATTCTGTCACAGTATGATAATCATACTGGAAATTTTAATAACGAGCAAAGCTTGTAGTCATTCATGTTCTTGGTGTTTAGTGGATAGTTGTTTCATTGACAATCATACCACATCTCCTTATTTTTTTTTTTTAAGTTTTTGTGTAGAATGATAGAACAGATGTTTCAGACACCTTCAACCAGCAAATTTACAATTAATTTATCAATATCAATTTTCTGTTTGAATAAAATCGGAATTAAATGTGCAAACAAATGAAGGAAATCTAGTTAAATATTTGAACTAGTTACCATGAATAGTGTATTTTATGTGAGCTTTACGATGGCGTTATATCATGTCTATTGAATGAAGTGACTCGGAATATTAACACTAACCATTAGTTTTCACCTTCGAGTCCATATTTCAATGAGTTTTAAAAGTCCTGTCTATATTAAAAGACATTTCATTAAATTGCGTCCCCAGTTTTATTTCCGTCTTGGCGGGATACAAATAATTCTGTACCAACAGATGGTCGTATGGCAGTGTAATTCTAGGCCATTATTCCTGGCTCTGTTGCTTGATGTGTGAAATCATCTTTTGTTAAACTTCTGTGTTCAGTAAGACAGTCACACTTTCTTTATCTGAATTGGATTTAATGAGGCTATGCATGAGTGAGTTGATGAAAATGCGCCAGGCAAATATAAGGTATGAATTTAAATTTTTTTTTTTTACCATTTTCAAAAAAGATCACAAAAAGATTGCATTGTATAATACAAATGTGTTGGAGTAATTGAATTGAAATTTTTTATTTTTTTGTGAGCAAATTTCAATTGAACTGATTTGTTTGTTACTGGGATTAAGTTTTGCATAGATTATTTTGATATAAACAAATCTGCAAGAAGAACAAGAATTTGAAGAAAAAAATTGATTTCATGGCATTAATTCTCGAATCACTAATTGACAATGCCATGCAAAATGAAAGTAGAAATCAACTGAACACATTGCCATGACAGAATGGACATTTGTCATAAATCATCTTATGGAAAGTGAAAGTATCTGGACATAGTGACCCTTAGTAATTTGTAGTAATGTGTAAAATTAATTACTTTGTTAGGGAAAGGCAATCATTGTACATTTGACAGAGTGACAGTTTTCATGTTATAATGTCTCTGTCTGATACAAATGTCTGTATTGTAATGGATTAGAGATTATACAGTCCATTGGATTTGTAATCCCGATTAAAAAAATGTTGATTTTGGAATACATTGAAACTTTACAAGCTGAGGTAAGGTTTTTCTTTTGTAATTTCATATATGTTTCTTTACCAGTTGAGAAGTCAAAGAGGTCAAATTCAAAGATTTTATTAATATAAAATCCAAAATCTGATCACAATCTCATTATGGAATAAAAGTTATAGTGTGAACAGTTAGCAAGGATATATATAGTAAGAATCTTGCTGGTGGTCAGAAGAAAAGAACAAAGGATGTGGGGTTGAGGCATGCCATATATTTTTTTTTTCAATGAGCCATATTTCTCTTCAATGAAGAGTAAATATTTGGTGTTGTTTTATCAGCAAACATCAAATTTGACTAATTTTGTAAATATTATGATATACATCATAAGTCACATAATGAGTGATGCTAATTTCCACATACAACAATAACTGCAAAGTGTTATTCAGTCTGAACGATTTCACATTGGTAAAAAATTTATTAGTTAAAACTTTTTTTTCATGTACAATATCTTAGAGGAGAGGAGTCATGTCAATAGACTATTTTTGATAAAATCAGCCAGGCTTTTACAAATTCATTGTCTACCAGTGCTAGAACGTTAAATATCTTTCACATACATTGGTCTTTTTGACCAGCCAATTTTATAGTGTATATACTGAATGAATGTTACATACAAAACTATTCATTAACAGTAAACAAATAACTGGAGTAATATAAAAGAGTGCATGTGTCGGAGTCCCCATGTTTAACCATGATAATGATATAAACTGACTTTATGAATCAGCACTTAGTTATCTTGGACATGTAGTCCTGTCAGTAGGGAGTTGTTTGAAATGTTGTTCTCCCAGTAGAGTTATTTGAAATGGTGCTGGAATTAAATGATCCATTTCTGTTCTTTCTCTCTGTTTTCTCTGCTTCAGATAGCTATAATGAAGATGCCGTGAGTTAATTGGTTAATGACATGTTTACTTCCCTACAGGGAGTTGTAAGATAATCTCTGTAGAAATATTTCCTTTGTCTTGCTGTTATTATCTTCAATATTTAAGCATTTTTAAGCACTGTACTGCAACACTCATTTATGGACTGCACTTTCAGAATTTGGATACAAATCAGATTGACTTGATTTGATTTACCAAGAACATGGAACAAAAATTTAATAACACATGTCTGGAATAGGACTTAATCTGTATTTTAACAATTGTTAGATGATACTCTTTGAATGCTATATTATAGGCTTTATTTAAAGTATTATAAATTATAAAATTAGCATTATGTCATATTGCTTAGAATCTTATGTATGATTGAAGACTATTGGAAGACAGGATTTGATCGTGAATATGAATGAAATATTTGCCACTGAAAGTAATAAGCTTGAAGCAACATTCAATCAATTATTTTTTGTTGCCAAATCTCATTGATTTTTATCCCTTATCCCTTTTTATTCAAAATAAGTTCACAGGTTAAATCATGTGTAAAGATGTCCTCTTGTAATTTGCATTTAGAATAGGAATGAAAAATACTGCTGATACATTGGTAATGCAAAAACCTAACATCAGAATAAAATTAGAAAATGAATTTAGAGGTCAACATATTAATGTCAAGAAATGACAAATACCTACAACATACACCAGACTTTTATTTATCTGATAGTTCTAATATACTGAATACATTTTCCCATCAGATTTCCGATTGACTAATAGACGACATAGATGGAATTGGGGGGGGGGGGGGATATATAGGATTATCGTGAAAAAATGAAGTTTGAAGAGAAAAATGAAGTTAATTAGAATGATTAGTATTATAGGGTACATAGTTTTCATTAGACAACTTTTAAATTTAGGCAGTTTCCAATACATTTCCTATGTTACAATGTAACTCATTCATAAAAAACAACGCTTTAAAATTAATCTATTGTATTTGGTTTAGAATTTTACACATTTACTTATAGAAATATATAATTGGGACAATTTTGATTTTCATTAATAATGCTTGTTAAAATGACATTTAGTTAGTGAAGGGACCATTTGTATCTGTCAACATTCTGATGGAAGTATTTTGTAGTAATTAACATAGGGCTAGGCAGTTTGTCATAATTTGTTAATAATAAATTGCCCTTGGTGCTTCTGTGTATTAATTGGTAGACATATTTTAGATATATATTTTTAGAGAGAAAAAAAAAGACTTTTTTTGTAACAGCTATAGATATGAACGATATATTCTATCTTAAAATTTCGTCACTGTCAACATTTCAAGTTTATACAAATGTCATCCTATTTGCAAATACCATTTAATAAGTTTAATTTAAAGTTTATGATATTGAACTCAATATAAAGAACCTATAATTTCATTTGTCACAAATGTAAAATGGTCTTTTGATATAGTATTCTGAGTTTTTAAAAGGCAGTTTTATTGAGTTCCACCTGAAACGGGTCACCAGGGGTCCAGACTAATTTATTGATTTCTACAATATTAAAGAATAACAATTTCAAGGAAAGAGGAATAGGGTCCATCCCTCCGGACCCCCTCTGACTCTGCCAATGCCAGGAACCAATCTACATTAAGTTGAATATTGTAAATTCAGAAATTATTGCGAGGTTTTTATCATTGCGAATAATGGGACTGGGTTAGTATCGCAATAATAAGAACTCGCATTCTGATATCTGATATATATATCTGTATGCATATTTTACAGAAATCGCAATAATTAATCTCCCATTTATGTCCATTCTTTAAAAATCGCAATAATA